GGTCTCCTGAATAGAGCACACTGATGGGTCTTGACTCTTTATCCAATTTGCCAGTCTGTGTCTTTTAATTGGGGCATTTATTTTGATCCTGTCATTATGATGCTAACTGGTTATTTTGCCCATTAGTTGATACAGGTCCTTCAACTGTCAGTGGTCTTTACATTTTGGTATGCTGTTGCAGTGACTGGTACCAGTTTTTCCTTTCCATATTTAGTGCTTCCTTCAGGAGCTCTTGTAAGGCAGGCCTGGTGGTGACAAAATTCCTCAGCACTTGCTTGTCTGTAAAGAATTGTATTTCTTCTTCACTTATAAAGCTTAGTTTGGCTGGATATGAAATTCTGGGTTGAAAATTCTTTTAAGAATGTTGAATGTTGGCCCCCACTCTCTTCTGGCTTGTAGGGTTTCTGTAAAGAGATCTGCTGTTATTCTGATGGGCTTCTCTTTGTAACCCGACCTTTGTCTCTGGCCTACCCTTAACATTTTTTCCTTCATTTCAACCTTGGTGAATCTGATGATTATGTGTGTTGGGGTTGCTCTTCTCAAGGAGTATCTTTGCGGTTTTCTTTTGAATGTTGGCCTGTCTTGCTAGGTTGGGGAAGTTCTCCTGGATAGTATCCTGAAGAGTGTTTTCCAACTTCGTTCCATTCTCCCCATCACTTTCAGGTACACCAATCAAATGTAGGTTTGGTCTTTTCACATAGTCCCATATTTCTTGAGGCTTTGTTCGTTCTTTTTATGCTTTTTCTCTAATCTTGTCTTCACACTGTATTTCATTAAATTGATCTTCAATCTCTGATACCCTTTCTTTCGCTCATCAATTCAGCTATTGATACTTGTGTATGCTTCTCGAAGTTTTTGTGCTGTGTTTTTCAGCTCTATCAGGTCATTTATGTTCTTCTCAAAACTGGTTATTCTAGTTAGCAGTTCCTGTAACCTTTTATCAAGGTTCTTAGCTTCCTTGCATTGAGTTAGAACATGCTCCTTTAGCTCGGAGGACTCTGTTATTACCCACCTTCTGAAGCCTACTTCTGTCAATTTGTCAAACTCATTCTCCATCCAGTTTTATTTCCTTGCTGGCATGGAGTTGTGATCCTTTGGAGGAAAAGATATGTTCTGTTTTTTGGAATTTTCAGCCTTTTTGCACTGTTTTTTCCTCGTCTTTGTGGATTTATCCACCTTTAGTCTTCGATGTTGGTAACCTTTGGATGGGGCTTTTGCGTGGTCATCCTCTTTGTTGATGTTGATGCTGTTGCTTTCTGTTTTTTAGTTTTCCTTCTAGCAGGACCCTCTTCTGAAGTTCTGCTGGAGTTTGCTGGAGGTCTGCTCCAGACCCTGTTTGCCTGGGTGTCACCAGCAGAGGCTGCAGAACAGCAAAGATTCCTGCCTGCTCCTTCCTCTGGAAGCTTTGTCCCAGAGGGGTACCACCAGATGCCAGCTGGAGCTCTCCTGTATGAGGTGTCTGTTGACCCCTACCATCAGGAGGCATTGGAATCAGGGACCCACTTGAGGAGGCAGTCTGTTCCTTAGCAGAGCTTGAGCGCTCTGCTGGGCAATCTGCTGCTCTCTTCAGAACCAGCAGGCAGGAACGTTTAAGTCTGCTGAAACTGCGCCACAGCTGCCCCTTTCCCCAGGTGCTCTGTCCCAGGGAGATGGGAATTTTATCAATAAGCCCCTGACGGGTTGCTGCCTTTCTTTCAGAGATGCCCTGCCCAGAGAGGAGGAATCTAGAAAGGCAGTCAGGCTACAGTGGCCTTGCCAAGCTGTGGTGGGTTCCACCCAGTTCGAACTTCCCGCTGGCTTTGTTTACGCTGTGAGGGGAAAACCTCCTACACAAGCCTCAGTAATGGCAGATGCTCCTCCCTTCACCAAGCTGGAGCATCCCAGGTCGACTTCAGTCTGCTGTGCCAGCAGCGAGAATTTCAAGCCAGTGGATCTTAGCTTGCTGGGCTCTGTGGGCATGGGATCACTGAGCTAGACCACTCGGCTCCCTGGCTTCAGCCCCGTTTCCTGGGGAATGGACAGTTCTCTCTCTCTGGCGTTCCAGCACCACTGGGGTACGAAAGAAACCTCCTGCAACTAGCTCAGTGTCTGCCCAAATGGCCACCCAGTTTTGTGCTTGAAACCCAGGGCCCTGGTTGTGTAGGCACCCAGTGGAATCTCCTGGTCTCCAGGTTGTGAAGACAGTGGGAAAAGCGTAATATCTAGGCCGGATAGCACCATCCCTCACTAACAGCACAGTCCCTCATGGTTTCCCTTGGCTAGGGGAGGGAGTTCCCAGACCCCTCATGCTTCCTGGGTGGGTCAACATCCCACCTTGCTTCTCCTAGCCTTTCTTGGCCTGCATCCACTTTCTAATCAGTCCCAATGAGATGAGCCGAATACCTCAGGTGGAAATGCAGAAATCACCCACCTTCTGCCTTGGTCTCACTGGGAGCTGCAGACAGGAACTGTTCCTATTCGACCATCTTGCCCGGGAATCCCAAAAGCCGTTACTCTTAACCAGTGTGACACACACTAGTTTTGAGCAGTAGCAAAAAGAACAATGTGTGTGTTGGAGACTCAGATAAGAACTTGAAAGTCATTGGAAAATGGAAGAAAGGACAATATGAATGGGGTTTTCAGTTGAAGAAACTTTTAAAAGCAGTAGTGGCATGCATCTGGTTGATGTAGAAAGAGAAGAGTTCAGACAAAGGTGACTAATGAGAGATAGTAAAAGGAAAGTAGAATGTATGAGTCATGCAGTGGGGAGATTTCCTTTTGGCAACTACTCTTGCTTTAAGCACAAAAAAAACAGAATAGCTTGCTGAAGACATTTTTATAGCATTAATATATGAGTCTGAGGAGAATTTTTTCCCATTTGACTTGCTTTCTATTCATCATCTTTTTCTTTCCTAGATGATTCCATGTCAAGGTATTTCAGATGCCACTTTCTTATTCTCATGTGACTTATATCTTAGGTATATTTTCTGGATTAAAATAGAGTAGTTTTTAGTCTACGTTTGTTTTTATTAATCTCCATAATTTGTTTACATGTGATCATGATGCTATTCTCTGGTTCAGAATTGAGGTACTAAAAGAAGTAGGTTTTAATTAGCATGTTAAATTATAGTAATGTTGAAAGGTTCCATTTATTACGTATGGGATTTTACTGTAGGAAGTTAGTCTTCTTCAAGATTTTTCTACTAGTACTGCTTTCACTTTTTAAACCAACTTTAATATACTGCTGTAAATTCATAATTTTTCTCCTTCTAGTCTCCCCTCCCCATCTCTCTTGTGAGAAAATAATTTGAAGTCAGATAAGGTCTTTCTTCTGAAGGAACTGACAATTTAGTATCTAACACAATAAGTGCCATGCAAGAGCAGGGAAACAAGGAATATTAAATTCTGTGGCACAGAGGACAGACATTCTATTAAGATACCAAGATATATTTCAGCTGATCCTTGAAGGCTTGTGACAGAGCTCAGAAAGGCACTGTAGACAGAGGAACAGCCTGAGGAAGGCATAGAGCAACCCAGGTCATTCAGTGAGCTGTAGCCTAAACAAGGGGGAGCCTTCTACAGATTTCACTGTACCTCCTGGAGACAAACATGAGTCAGGGTGATTGCTTCTAAAAGAGGAGTTGTAGGTTTAACCTGCAACTAGTGTGCAGCTGGTGTCTCTATAACACTAAGAAGAAAGGACATAAAAAAAGTTCTGCAGAATGGAGGCAAAGCTGGAGTCCAACATGAGGGAAAAAACATATACACCTATAGCTCTCCACCTTTGAGAAAACTTGCTAGAGGGAACTCCACATGACAGAAGTTATTTCCATTCCATAGATCACCCCAGTTGCTCATTGCTGGCTGTTTTTCTCTCAGTTTTTGATGTTTTATTATGCAGCTATCCATTGATCCTTTTAGTGATAGATGCATTTATTGAACTTGTGCCATGTACCAGGTACTGTTCTATGTTCTGTATGTTTTCCAGCTTATTTAATAGCTTTCTTCTCTTATGATTTTACTTTAATGGTCTTGGTAACTTCCCTGTGTTGCATAGATCACAGCTATTACACAGCCACCCCTAGCTGCAGGGTAAGCTGGGTAAGTGAGTATTTAGCCTTTCTTGCCTTGATAGTGGAGGCCGGCCACAAAAATGGAAGTTAGAAATGAGTATGTCTGCTACATAATCACTTTTCTTACTTGCTTCCTTTGTTTAGTCTATCCCCTTTCATTTCTTTCTTGTAAATCTAACTCTTTTTCTCTGAAGAAACTAAAATTCTTTAAAGATTAAGAATCTTCACTATTATATTTGACATATAAAAGTTCATGAAGAATAAATTACAGCTTGGGTTTTAAATTTTACTTGTATAGATTAACATCAAATTTTAGCATTATAAAAGCAATTCTACAGAGGGAACATTTACATTATGCTTCAGTATCTTCAGTTGTACCTTACTGTTCAGCATAAACATCATATGCCAAAGAGGTATAATCTTTTGTTGTATATTTCCTTTGTTGATTTTTAAAGACATTATTATTATGAATCAAATGGCAGTTGTTTATTTTACCTACATTGAACCTTTTAGTTATAGTGAGTTGAACTCCAAATTTATAAAGCAGTAGAATCATTTAATAAAAGCAGTTGGATTAGCTCATTCATTCATTAAATATTAAGTTCCTGTTATGTGCCTGAGGGTATGGAGAGATGAAAGAGTTGGTAGGGAATGATATTTGAGGATAGGCTGTCTCTATGAAAATAAAAGCAATTACCAATTTTAATTTAAAAATAAAATATACATAGATAAACACTTATAAATAGTAATAAAATATAAACCCATAAACACTCATGAACAACAAAATACACACCCATAAAAGTAAATGGATGGGTGGATGGATGGATGGATGAATGGGTGTGTGGACAGAGACTGATAGACACTTAATAAATTAAGATTAATGTTGTAGTTAATGGTGTTTCAATATTATGTTGTCTAAAACTATGTTAACTTTTTTAAAAAATTAAGGTTGACAGATTTGCAATGGAATTAGAACAGAGCCGAAATTTGAGCAATACCATAGTGCACATTGACATGGATGCTTTCTATGCAGCTGTAGAAATGAGGGACAATCCAGAATTGAAGGATAAACCTATCGCTGTAGGATCAATGAGTATGCTGGTAAGTAAAGATCAAAGACAAAAAGGAAATTTTATAACATATTCAAGTAAGCTTTACTGTTTCATGAAGGGGGAATTCTTTATTGAGGTCTACCAGTTTGCTGAGTATTTTTCTGGGTGCCTTATATATGACTCAATTACTGAATCCTTTCAACATACTTTAAGGCAGGGGACTCCTGCCCCTGGTTCACAGATTGGTATTGGTCCATGGCCTGTTGGAAACTGGACCTCGCAACAGAAGGTGAGCGTCAGACAAGCGAACGAAGCTTCATCTGTATTTACAACCACTTCCCATCACTTGCAGTATGCCCGAACTCGGTCAGATCAGTTGTGGCACTGGATTCTCATAGGAGCACAAACCCTGTTGTGAACTGCGCATGTGAGGGATCCAGGTTACATACTCATTATGAGAATCAAATGCCTGATGATCTGTCACTGTCTCCCATCACCCCCAGATGGGATTGTCTAATTGCAGGAAAACAAGCTCAGGGCTCCAATTGATTCTATATCATGGTGAGTTGTATAATTATTTCATTATATATTACAATGTAATTATAATAGGAATAAAGTGCACAATAAATGTAACATGCTTGAATCATCGCGAAACCATCGCCCCACCAGTCCGTGGAAAAATTGTCTTCCACAAAACCAGTCTCTGGTGCCAAAAAGGTTAGGAACTGCTGCTTTAAGGTACTAGTTTTTATTTCCATTTGGCAAAAAAGAAAACTCAGAGAGATGCTTAATAACTTGCCCAAAGTTACAAACCTAGTAACTTCCATGGCAAATTAAATTTTTCCATAAGTAACCATTCTAGTTAAAGAGAGTTGAATAAGAAAGCAAAGGAAATGTTATTGTAAGGTATTAATAGAGATTTTCAAACTGGTCTGCAGGCCAAATCCAGCTTTTTATTGGAGCAAAGTCACACCCGTTTATTTATTACTATTGTTGCACTAAAAGAGCAGAGTTCAATAATTCAATGATCTGCAAAGCCTAAAATGATTACTATCTGGACTTTCACAGAAAAGAAAAGGTTTGCCAACCCTAGTTCTGGAATAACGTATTTCATTAATAGAGTACATTTAGAATGCAGTTAAATTGTTTCTCCCATGACTTAGAACTTTGCTTTTCTGATTACTATGTTGCTGTTCCTTTTTACACTCTAACTTTAGAAGGTAAAAATGACCAGGATAGCTATGTGTGGCTGAAAGTGTGTTGGGAATTAAAAGTAGCAACTGAAATAGATGGGCTTTGGTACTTAAAAAGTATTAGATAAACAAGAAGAGTTCTTCTCTGTTCCTAACTCCTTCCCATGCCTTAGATAGCTACAAAACTAATTCTTACTGAGTGATTATTTTATTATAAAACTATAATCTGTTTGTTTTTTTATCTCTGCCTCTGTGAGTATGCAGGCAACTGATAACTCTGTTTCCAAACCACTGTTTTTTGAAAGGAAACTCCCCTTTCCTACAAATCATCAATAAATATTTCAAAAAAATATATTTACTTTTATTAAGATGTAACACCATAAATTTATGTATGTTTATGTATGTGTATACATACAAACTTGCTGTAGCCATGTTAAAGCTAAACTGACTGCTTTTGAAATCTACAAAATATTTTCTTTCCTACAGTTTCTGTCCTCCTAAAAATCAGTTATTGTTTCTAAATTCAAAATTACTATTTGTTATATTTAAACAAAGATTACTCCCTTTGTATGTTGAACAAATAGGTTTCCCTT